TTTCCCCGCTAGATCCCACCTAAGTGTCTGTACAGCCAATCATAGCCCCGCTAGATCGCACATATGCACCTTTACAATCACGAATAGCCCCGCTAGATCGCATTTATGCGTCTTAACAATCACTCATAACCATGCTAGCTCGCATTTATGCGCCTTTACAATCACTCATAGTCCCGCTAGATCCTACCTGCATGTATGCGCATTTGCAATCACTCATAACCCCGCTAGATCACACCTATGCGCCTTTTACAATCACTCATAGCCCCGCTAGATCCTACCTATGCACATTTACAGTGACTCAAAGCCCCGCTAGATCGCTTCTATGTGCTTTTACAATCAATCATAACCTGCTAGATTGCACATACGCGCCTTTACAATCACTCAAAGCCATGCTGGTTGTCCTTTTTCTTTTGCACTTTTACAGTCACGCATTGCCCCTGCATCAAACAATATCACTTGTAAACAAACGAGCTATTTTAAACACATTTCATAAAGTTCTCATAGACAGGTAAACATCTGCGTGATACGATTACTTTTTAACAAATATTTATATACACCTACACAAAATTACACAAAGGCACATTTATACAGGTAACACGCGCACGTCACGATCATTAATGATTAGGTTGTACATATACACCATAACACAATACATCTTTTATAGTCTTTTATAGAGATGTAACATACACGCGTCACGATCACTATTGTACAACCCGTTAAAGACAGAAAATGAAAAAAACTGTGTAATTCCTTAGGGTTACATGGATGAAAAGTTTCGAGTTGGATGTCCTTTTGTTAAGATTCTTGGCAAACAATACCAGAGTACATACAACCTTAGCACTTTTGAATTTCCACGAGATATATAACTGAATCCCAGTGACACTCGGTACAGAACAATAGGTCATTATCATCTGTGATGACGCAGGATATGTTACAACGTTAACGGTACGCGCGAGTCCACTAAACTAAACATGTTCCTATCAAATGTAATTTGTAATAGTTCAATTGTATTATAGGAGTGGGAGCTATATAAGCACGCTTTCTGATATCGCTCATAGATACATTACACTAGTCTTTAACGAGAATAAAGTTAGCTATAGAAGAGCCGACATTACAAAAAGTAATAAAATTGACGACAGCTCTATGTGTCGTTCCACACTTTGGTCATTATGCTGGTAACTTGAATGACCAATGTATCTTTGCAGACGTTTTGGAACGACTTACTATCAACAGCCAGGCAATGGGGTTTGATAATGTATGAACAGGTATGTTGGATTACAGGTATGTATTGAAGTACACGTTATCTTTGACTTCTGTAGATGTATTATGGAATAGTAAAACAGTTTATCCGTCCGTTTATCTTAATTACATTACCCGAGACGTATTCCTTCCATCCTTTGTGTATTTAATACCGATTAGAATCATAAACAAAAACGACACTTCATTTAATTGGGTACCTACATTACACCGTGTGTCGTGACTATTCTCAGGACCTTATCCCAAAGGCTAGAGTCACATTTTACGTTGAAGTTTTAGATTATGCTTTACTCTCGTGGGCGATACTGCATTGTACTCTAAGCAATAATAAAACAAGTCGTTGTACCACTTAAGTTTGTACAAAAACAACACCTTGTACCGTGGCGATAGTTTGTACCGGGGAAATCGTTTGTATCAACGAGAACATTTGTACTAGGGCAAAACTTTGTCCCTGCATAGAACTTTGTGCCAAGGACATAGCTTGTATTAGCGCCATGGTTTATAAAAGGGCAGTAGATCAGGAAGATCTGAAACTGTAAACACATCCTACATTTTGATGATTCCATCACGCATACATTCTTTGGCGAAGTTCTTTGTTCATTTGCAGAATTGCAATGAGTGGGGTTAAGTGTTTTCTAGGAATTCACAGTTCTTAATTATAGGATCCTTTTGTTCATATTGAGTAAGGTTTCTATATGTTATTTTATTTAATCATTATATATTATAAAATGTCGAATGGGTTTTGGGATTGATCAATATCACGGCTGTATATTTTTTATGTTTTCACACTTTTATAGAAATTAGGTTTTGAAATGATACGATTTTTTTTGTAATTCGTGTTTAAAACATTCTGTTTACAATCAATAATACGACGACATCACTACTGTATTACCGAATTTGCTTAATATATTTTTAACTGTTATAGGACTGGCTGAACATTCAGACAATCGGTACTGTCGCCCTTCAGACTGACCTCACCCTTGGTGAACGATGGCTACAGCAGATGAACAACGCCGCTCAGAAACTCAACATAACCATCCAGTATTGTATGGCGCTTCCTAGGCACGCTTTACAGAGTCTGAAAAACCCTGCCGTCACACAGGTGAATACATTTCAATCACACGTATTGGTATGAAGTGACGCCTTATAAAATTGTCCATATATATAATATTACTCTGGGGGCATTCCATTTGGGTTTGTGCCCTGTAACTAGCTTATTTGATGAGTAAGATGATATCTTTAGTAATCAAAATGATAAAATAATTTAATTTAATCATTCAATGCTGTGAATTATGCAGAAATGTTAATCAAAATAATTTTGTTATTTTTCTTACGGCAGCAAGAAATAACGACGGTGTTTAATCAGCTTAAACACATATGGCAATACACATTGAACAAATACAGCTGAAGGATATGATATCTGTTCAGATTCGGTTAAGTCGAGTGTAAGAACCATTATTTTTCACGAACATCAATCTTCAGCAACATATGCAGTTGGCTGTATGACATTGTCGCAACAAAAAACTGGTTTAAAATTTCTTTTGTAAACATTCTTTGCTATGAGTCACAAAAGTATGATGAATAGAATATTTAAATGTTGCCAGTTTGAATTCCATTTATCTTACTCTTGTGAAGGAATTCCCCATTTTCTTCACTTCTGTCTGGCTTTTCAGCGACAACTGTTAATGGCACCCATATCTATATATCTATAGTTCTATATATAAACTATCTACTGGATGGTGGTTACTTCGAATCCAAGTTGGGCCTTATGTCTGTCTGGATCACGTGGGTCTTTAATTTGAAACATTTGTATCCGTTTTCATGTATTCATTTCAGCATATACAGTGTAGAACTAATCCAGAACGGATTGTGTATCTGTTTGATAGAAAACACCATATTAACCTCTCGCGTTTGATAGACCCCAAAAGAGAAATTATTCACCGGCTATTAATACAATTGTTTCAGGTTGATCCCCATATCTGTCCTCATATTGGAAATGTCATCCTGATAGATGCCTAGAAATGAAATTATTACTGAGCCATTTCCCAGGTGTGTCATTATTATTGACAACGATAATCGACGACTGTCTAGACAAAATTGACATTTCACCAACAGTGGAATGGTGTCATCCATATCATCACCTTACTCCCAGATGATATATCCCCAACACGAGAAGGTCATTTACATGTACGACCACATACACGAAGTTTATTAGCTTAAAAAATACCTGATGCGATTTATTCTATCTAAAACATTGATACATAATGGTTCTCTTATTCAGTTAAAAATTCTATTTCACATTTCATTGACCTAACAATGAAAGTAAAAAGAAGATTGTTGATATTATTCCAATCAAATTTATGAGGTTATATTAACTGCCTAATTGATACATTTTTGAGGGATTTAGCTTCGTAGTTTTCGTTCGAATTGTGGATGTTCTCTTTCACAAAAAGGAAACAAAAATCTTATAGAAAAAATAAATAAGGTTAAGGCCCGTCTCACAAATTTTTACATAACATAACCTTTTAGTATACCAGTGATTCGCAAATTTATTTCTTCGCTAAAAAATATTGAATATCGCTGACTTCATAACCGCAATGACTAGCAAATATACGATACGCGAAAACAATCCATTACAGAACCATATTGGTGGCTACATACCTGGTATGCTATATCCCCTTTAAGTATCGTGTACATACCTAGGATGGTTTATTCTGTGAGCATGATATATCATTATCCCTAAGTATGGCTTACTTCCTAAACATGTCATGTCGAAAACCCTATTAATGGTGTATTTACTGAACATGTCATGTCATACACCCTTAGTGATCAAAGAAATGACTTTGTTGATGATAAGTAGAATAAAGTTTTTTTAACATCAAGACTGTTAATTTTATGTCCAATAGATCACGTCATTGATGTACGACGGCAGATAGAGTCACCTTTTATCCGTACTGTTCATGGGTGAAGACCGATAAGGAGGTTTTGTGTCTCCTGCAAATACAGGTGGTCTGCTTTCCCGATGAAACATTTTTGGGAAATCTCAATATGACAATATTTCCTTTTTTCATCTTCTTTTCGATGGTGATCATCTAGCTACTTCTTGTTAGTCCTCTGTCAGATTAATGTAACAAAGTGATACCTCAACTATCCTTATGTAATTTACTGGACTATTTCAAAATTGTCTACTGACAAGTAGAAGATGAACAAGGAATGTTTGACAGTTGCATGCTGACAAGTAGAAGATGAACAAGGACTGTTTTAAATTGCATGCTGACAAGTAGAAGATGAACATGGATCGTTTTACAATGCCCACTAATACACCATTGATGTATATACTAGTGAGGGTTGCCATTTTATTCTGGTTTTTTTTTTCGTTGAAGGCACGAGTGAGTGACGATTACCACTTGGTCGATGACCAGTGGAAGATAGGGATATCATCCATCTTTGCCGACGCGATGGGTCTGGCACCGTACAAAGACACATTCTGGACATCTGAGACCCAGTCAGGCAATTCCCGCTATCCAGGTAAATACTTCCTCCTTTTTTTTTAGAATTGATGGTTTGACTCTTCCATACGTGTATACGTAGCTCGAGTGGTAGGCCTTATGGCATACACAGATAGAAGGAATTATTTACACGACAAATTGGTTTTCTTTGGTTTTGATGTCACCCCAGTTACTTTTGCTTTCTTGATTGAATCCGAGTTCTTATTTGAAACTTATTGTATCCTTTTCATTCCAAGCTTTAAATTTTGTTCTGAATGGCCACTTTACTCGGTACTTTAAAATATATTCAGATAATAAATTCTTCATTTTCACAGAAATTGCTCATGTAAAGTCAGTTGAAAGCAAGCATGATTGGCCTCTTCGGATAATCTTAGAGTTATTGAAAAAAAATCAATGCGGGTATAAGTAAACCAAAGGATGACAATTCTGGTTTTGTATGGTTTACACAAATACAAATCAATTGTAGCTAGATTTCAAATTACTATTATAATTTTCCGTATTATTATAGTAATGATATCTAAAATCTTGCACTAATACAGGACATGTCATCAAAGAGATACAATGTTAGTGATGTAAATACAACCTATAGATGTCGACTATATCTAATTCCAAGAGGGCAGTGCAGTTTAAATTCATTAATATTTACAGTGCCATAGTGGGACTGTGTTATTCAAGTGTTTCACATATGACAAATAGACTTTATTCATACTTTAAATATAAACTAGGTAATATATAAAGCTTAAACCTTCTAATCAAGTGCAACACAGAAACTAGGTTTTTGAGAACAATGAAGGTATATGTACAAATGAATGGCTACATTGTCATTTATCTACCTAATACTCACAATCGGGCACGTTAGTAAAACTCAACTACACAGCATACTGACAATCAATTAAGTAAAGACACGTAATGTATGCACTTGCAAATTTCCGAGAAAATTATCGAGAGTTTGTCGCGAAATGGTGTTTTCCAATCCAAATACTTACAGGCACTGAGTGGTCGGTAATTGACAGTAACCTGGAGGTTTCTCCCACAGGTTACGTTCACTGTATGTTATCTGGTTTTCTGTATTGATTCCCAGAAGTAGCGATGTTTAAACAAGGCAAATATAAAACTTTGTGTATAATATAAGCTTGAATTGTCAGTTTTACTTTTTTTTTAAGGTTTTTAAAGTGGAAACGAAAATCAAATCAATGTGAAACTCTTGAGAGATATTATTTAGATCCCCCTCGTCCCGTAAAACACCGGCACATAAAGAAATCAATCAGGGAAATAATTGTGTTGGAAAGAGTCTTGTTTTAACTTTCATAAATGAAATATTTCAAA